TCACGAATATTCGGGACGTGGGGGGTAAATCCGCGAAAACGAGTTGGGATACCCCCTCGAAGCTGGGGGTCAACAGGCAAAGTAGGTCAAGAGGTGTAAAATAAGGGGAATCATTCCCATCCCTTTAATAACTTAAGGTATATGGAGAAAATGCAGAATTGCGGCACAAATCTAAATCGGCTCGACCTAGGCTGTGATGTGTCGGTGTATAGGCATCATGGTAGGAAAATGCCATCACTGTCCGAAATTAGAGGTCACAGGTCAACAGGTCCAATGGGCCCAGGGTACGTTCCGGTATACCGAACCGTACCCAGGGTACGTTCCGGCATAGCCACAAGTTCCCATCTCGCTTAACACTACGTGGCGAGAGGCGTGTAAGGCGAGAGGTGTGCTATTCCTCCGCCGTGTAACTAGTCGGAGAGCCTGGTCGGTTTAGTTCCGGCAGTACCCTGGGGGACATAGACCCTATCAGTATCAGCCTTTAACTTTAAGAGGACACCAGTTGCATTGCACTCACATCATCATTATGCACCTGTTTGTTTATTGGGTTTATCCCTGAAGGCACTTACTACCTTGTCATTATATCCAGTGTAGTGGACACCGACAAGTACGAGAACATAACATAACACAAGTTACAACAGAAACAGAATGGATGGTCAGGTCAGATTATGCCCCAGATACACGTAAATCGTAATCACGTTAATGCGTAATATACAAATTCATGGATATACGAACGGATATCATGTAACATAACTCTAATTGGGTTGTGTATATTTGTGTTAACTTACTATCACGGTAATTTACCGACCAACACTTCATCAATAATACGTTAAAAACTACATAAATGTGTATTTTCATCGACCTGGTTCCGCCTCAAGATGGATGGCAAAAGCCATAGACGGGCGACGGGCACAGACGGGAATAGAGTTTTATTTCAATAACAGAGACAAGTGCACAAGTCTAGTTTTCCCCACTAGTTCGGAGTGACACCTTTCGGCGATAACAGAGGTTACGTTTTAGGAAAATGGCTGCCCCCATGGGTTAGGCATGCTCACTTGAAACTGCGAACATGCGCACTCAAACTCGTTCCAAAAAGAACCGCTTTTTCGCTGGCGGCGCGACCGTCCAATAAGCCTCGCGTTTGACTGGTGGTCGATAAACACGCTTTGTATTTATACTAAACATGATTTACTAAACCTATCACGCACACTGATGAACGACAACACGGGTGTACATATAGTAAATTTAATCTTCCCCGCAATCGTTATCGAAATATTAAGCCGAATACACTTTATGACCCCTCCCCCATAGCCCTATGAGGCTAAAAAAAATGAGCCCCGCGTTTGACCGGCGGTCGATAAACACGCTTCATATTTTATACTAAACATTCTTTACTAAACCTATCACGCACACAGATGAACGACAACACGTGTGTGTAGATGTAGGATATAGTAAATTTAATCTTCCCCGCAATCGTTATCGAAATACACTTGACTACACTACACGAATACACACCCGAATACACACCCGAATACACTTGACTTTATGTATGCAGCTCACCCTTATGCTAGCCGCACACTATCCGACCCGAACGCGATCGGGAGGCTTACGTTTGGATCGGGAGGCTTAAGTTTGGCTCGGGAGGCCTTAGTTTGGCTCGGGAGGTCATTTAGGCCCGATTCGAATTTTGAATCGGGAGCGGAGCGGGTCGTATAATTTTGCGAGGGCTTACGACGCGACTCGGATAGTGTGCGTGGCCATCCGACCCGCTCGGCGAGCGCTGAAAAAAATAGACCAATCACAGAGCAGCGCCATGGGAACCGCATTCGGCAAAAATGGCGGGAAAACACTCCCGACCCTTAGTACACGCTAAATCCGCCTGGAACGCCACGAGAGGGCTATGGTTTGCGCCAACTTTGAGTCGGACAGTGTGCGGGGGCCTCCCGATCGATCGGGAGCGGGTCGTATAGTGTGCGAGGGCTCAGTGCTGTGCACAGTGCAAAATCGTATAGTCTGCGGCTAGCATTAGGCTTAGTATACCATAGATACATAGGCTTAGTCATCAATACGGTACGCTCCGATACATTTCCATAGTTTCTTAGATCGGGCGCTAGATGGCGTTAGTGTAAAACCGCGCCGCCATACTGGACGTTATAAAGTGTATTTGGGTTTGTCTATATTCAGGCCGGTACAGGAGATAATTTGCATATTTTGTCACGTGGTTTGTGTTATAACCAATCAGATGTAATCGCGGTGGAGAAGGAGGGGAGAAGCTGGTGGAGAAGAAAAGAGGGGGAGAAGGGAGAAGGTGGTGGAGGAGGGGGAATGGAGAAGCTGGTGGAGAAGGAGGGGAGAAGCTGGTGGAGAAGAAAAGAGGGGGAGAAGGGAGAAGGTGGTGGAGGAGGGGGAATGGAGAAGCTGGTGGAGAAGAAAAGAGGGGGAGAAGGGAGAAGGTGGTGGAG